AGCATGTGCTGACTTATGATGGCTTCGCCCAAGCCATGTGGCTCAGCCCCACACATATGACCATGACCGAGAGGCAGTATATAGTTGACTTCCGCTAAGACCAGGCCTTCCACGCCATCTGTCTTCAGCAGTACCAGAACGACAAGTTCGAGGTCTCCAACACCAATGCAGTGAAGCTTCGGACTCCTTGGAGGATCCTGCATACACTACTTACGAAGTCGAGCATCCCCAGTCTGCGATCGGGGCACATGATCACCAACAGGGGGTTGATAGCCCTCCATACCCTTAGTCGCCTAGAAAAGCCACTCCATGTGGGATTAGTGGTGGCTACCACGTTCACCAGAAGCTTGGGGCGTGATCGAGTGGATACAATGCATTTGGGGGGGCATCATCACTAGGTTGGCCCGACACTTCGGGTTTGAATTGACGGAGAGCTCCATCAATGGTCGGACCAAGCCATTCCCCATGGAGACACTATACAACATGAAGTTGGTGCTCAAGGGAGAGCGAGGGATTGAGTACCTCAAGGGGATTCGACCATCGGCCGCTCTAAGGCCACATATTGACCTTGCTCTAATGGAGTCTGATCCAGAGGTCCCTTCTCCTAAGCAGCCGTGTGACTTTAGGGGTCATTCTAATATTAGGAGCTTCGTGCTTCTTGAGCTTAACGGTGATTGATAGAACGACCCCTCATCCTTTCTTCGTGTCTAAACCGTTGTGAGTCATATTTGTGTCTCGGAGATCTCACTCTCGAGCTCCATTGAGTTTCTACATAGGTGGATTTTGCACGGTTCTTTCTAGGAAAGAAAAGGTAGTGTTGGAGGAAGTTCTTGATAGAAAGCATAGTTCGTTAAATGTTAAGTGGCATGTGTTTTACTCTCTAGTACCCCCCCCCCTTTAATAAAAAGAAAAAATAAGATAGAAAAGGAAAGTAGAAAGAAAAGAAATGAAAATAATAAAATGGGATAAATAAAAATAGAAAGTTGCCACAAAAGTCTAAGTGTATGCTCTAGGAAGGGTTTTTTGGAACTCAAGCCATTGAAACACCTAAATTGTTTGATGACCTCCTTCACTATTATGATTGAATTTTGGATAGAAAGCATAGACTGAGGAAGTGTGCTTGAATGAAGTTCGTGATTGGTAGTGGTTTGGAAAAAGGAAAGCATGGTTTTTGGCTGATGCTAGTTGTCGTTGAGTGTAGAGAAAGGTTTGTATTCGAAGCCATAGAACCTTCGGTTTTAGGGTGAAGAAGTAGGACCTCATGCTATGTTTTCCACCACCCAAAAAGGCATTTTCCCCATGTCCAAGACAATTGTCAGTCATTTGAACTCGTGTCTAAGACATCCGGACAAGCTAGTGATGACAACCATCTCGCGAACTCTAGCATGTAGAGGTTGTTGCCATGGTGGAGAGACGATAGGGCTGAGTGTTGATGGTTGTGCACATTATTTTCCAACAAAGAGGCCCTGGCCCCACTAGTCGAGAGTGAGTGATTCATTCACATCTTGCATGTTCGTATTTTATCCCGGTGAGGACCTATGTTGCCCCGTCGTTTTTGACTTGGACTTGAACTCTATGAATGGTTAGTTGTAGTTGGTGAGTGGTCTTGTCGGGACTTGCATTGATTTGTGCACAGGGTGAAAACTTTTCATTTGCACATTTTTTATGCATTCGAATATCGTTGGTGTTCGATGTCGATATTGCCTGTAGCGGTTAATGTGTTGATGCCCACTAGCCATTGAGATTCACCACTTTATGCCCTTTGATTTGTCCCCAAGTTATTTTTTTAGGTTGAGATATTACCTTGGTTAAGAATGGTTTGCTTGGGGACAATCAAACGTCTAAGTGTAGGGGAGTGATTCGGGCCTAATTGTACACTTTTTATCCCCATTTTCCTTAGGCATTTGAGGCATTTTCACTCCAAGAGGTTTGGTTTTACACTAGGTTTTGCCTTATTTTAGCATGTTTTGGACTCAAGCAGGTGGAACCAGTCCTGGAATCGGAAGTTGGACAAAAATATGCAAAATCAGGTCAAAGTATGGAGGCAGCCGTAGATCACGGCAAAAGCAGATAGTTCAGGGTTAGAAAGACTGTGAATTGAAGCCATTAACCGTGAACCACCAAGCGTCCAGAGCCATTTTCGGTCTTATTGGACTCAAGTTAGTTCACGGTCGTAAGAACGTAAACCCAAGTCAGAGACCGTGAAGAGACTAAATGATGCGGTGTGTTTTTGTTCGAGATCACGGTCCCTGCCATATGTTCACGGCCGTGCACTGGGACCGTGAATCGAGCTCGGCCTGGGAATAAAAAGAGGCTTGAGCTAAGGAGTGGGAGGAGGGAGACCTTGACTGAGGAAACCTTCTTCTTCAACATTCTAGAGAGAGAAAGTGACGAGCAAGAAGGAAGAAGAGGCTAGGGTTTCACTCCAAGGCAAGGATTTGGAAAATTCTTCCCCAAAGGAAGATCTCTACTACACAAGGAAGGACTCAAGCATCTCCATGATGGTTTCTTTCCTTCTCATTGTGTTTTTCCTCTCCTAGCATCGAGTAGTGTCCCTTTTCACTTGGGTGTTTGTGAACCTAACTTCTACCATGTGATTGATTGTATGGAATGATATTTTATGTGTGGGTGTGATTTTAAAATGAATTAGGAGGTATTTTAATAGAAGATTTTGTTGTGTGTTTGCCTATCAATCTATTTTGCCATTCTAACCTAGGTAGAGAGAAAACGCCCTTTTGTGAAAGAGGCTTGTAAAGCTGGGTTTTCTTAGGAAAATCATGTCTCCTACCTAGATTAATGTAGGGAAACCCTCCTTATTGGTATTAGCACCTAGGTTGGTTGTGTTTTGGTCGTCCGAACTCTGATTCGAGAGAGAAGGTTAGACAATCCTTAGTCGATTAGGCCAAGAGCTACCTTGGTAGATTAATTTGAATTCCTTGGCCTAGAGACCGAGAGAGTGATGTTCCATCACTAGCTGCACTTCCCTCGCGGTTCACAACCACCTCCACCACATGTTTTCATGCATTCCGACAAGTCATGGTAGCTAGTTAGGGGGAGCTACACCCGGGTGAATCCTTCTCATTTAGAGTCAAAACCAATTACCTTTACAATCGTTTTAATTGTAGATCGTAGTTTCCAACAAACAACTATTTTCTTTTTTTACAACATCCAACAAACAACTAATCGCTATATAATGTTTCAAACAATTGAAGTAGGGGTACATGGACCAAGCCGGGTTGATATTTAGACATACTTGCCATATATTGCACCCAATTAAGTTTTATACTTGGGCCCTAATTGGGAGTTTTGTTGTGATATTCGGGACGAGTCAATTTTACTCTGCTCCGGAGCAACAGTTCTATATTTTTGGTTTACAAGATGAGGATGTTACAAAACTATTCTCCCAATTACTGGCCAACCCAATGAAAGGTTTCATTATAGGGGAAGTAAAGTAATAAATGTCACCCTAGGGTGCTAAGTCTACTATTACCTCGTGAAATTATCTATTATCTAGTTAACAGGTTGTAATGTCAAACAAAAAGAAGTAAATTGGTCCAAATTCAAGTATGAAAAAGTCACTAGGGGATTATTCCCCCTAATTGCTTGTTTGGAAAATGTTGTTTACTTCTCATAGATTGATTGATTCAAAACTTTCACCGCAGAGAGTCCTATAATAGCTTGGAATCTCAACTAAAGTATTACCAAGCCCTCCTGACATAGACTACCTAGAAGAAGACTATCCTCAATCGGAATAGGCTACCAAGGCAAATAATCTCGCTACTGAAATGAAGTCCAGTACAACGCAGTGAATCGATTCACTCTCGTGTTATAAATTCACCATGTCCAATTGAAGGTGCTCTATTGACTTGATTAGGTATTCTCTATCCTAGGTCAAAGCACAATTGAAAGAATGTGATAAGACTCATGTAATTCCTAAACATACTCCACTTAGATAAATAGCAAAGAGTTCAACAATCATAGGGTTCAAACATCAATCATCCTAACATATAGAACTAGGCTTCCTCACACCCAAGTGAGAGAGAGTTTACTCCATTGAGATGAGTGAAAACACAAGATAATCGGGAGAAATCATCGTGTAGATTTCAGAAATTTGCTTCTCCTATTCGTTCGTTACTCCTCAGTGCTTGGCTTGAGCTCCAATGGTAGTTGGATGGCTCTAGGATGCTCCATGAATGGGTTCTTCACCTAGGCCATGACTTCTGCTATCTTTGTACCATTTTCGCCTTTAAATGTCGCAAAAATCATTTATAACTGATAATCACGTACTATGATATGAATTATCACAAAAGAAGCACAATCTAGAGTAAAAAGGCCAAAGAATCAATCCTAACCAAGCTAAACAATGAAGAAACCAGGCTCGATATATGTATAGTTTGTCGGTACCACTATTTCAGGTAAAAAAAAGGACAACATGACCACATGAATGATTAGACAAATTACTAAAAATGAACACGCGCCTGGGAAGTCATCAATTGCGCTTAGAGCGCCTAAACAAGATATTTTGCGCCTAGACAAAACATTAATAACATTTAACCTCATTCACCTAGTATAAATAGAAACGTGAAACTCGTAGAAAGGCAGACATTAATACCAGCATTCCACAAAGAGTAATCTAAACATTCCCAATCGATGTTTGAGCCAGCCTCCTGCTCATACTGCTTCCTCGAATTAGTGACGGCAATGAGGAGGGACGAAACAGGTACCTTAATACCCATATTCACCCCGCACTAAGTGCGAGTCATGCCAGGTAATACACGCACGGGTACAGGGCGAGACATGTAACCCATCCTAATTTTATTTATATTTTTTTAAAAACAACGTCGATATTTAACTCTTTTACATTGACACTTAGAGAAAACACAACATAAATGAATGAGAAATATTATAAAGAAAATAATTGAGTCTAAATTATTGAAAAATAGTCTTAAAATTTCATTAGAATAAAAATATAATTTTAGAAAGCTCAAAAAATGAGAAATACTTATAAATATTATTCAAATAATTATAGAACAAGTCAAGAATAAAACGTCAATATAATAGACAGATCAGAAACAATATCCATGATCCATCTCATACTACTGATCAGAACATGTCAGGTCTCACAATCATGTCGGAAAATGCCATCACACTACAAATCCACTCACTGGGAAATCCTCTGAAAAGTTCATTCATCGTTGAACCATCCCTCATTCCCTCTACCTATCAACCTTTCTCACCCAGTCAACTCGAACCACCCTGAGCTAAGAGCCTCTTTTGCGGCCACAAACCCACAAATCAAACCGACTCAGTCGAACTGGCCTCTATTATTATGAATCAAGAGTACAACAGAAAACGATCAAAACAACCAATTCTGAAATAGTTCAAAATTTTGAGAACCACCAAAATTTTGCCTCCTATTTAAGAGTCTCCTTATCCTTTCCGCAGCACCTTGGATTTCAACATGAACAAACTCAAGTCAAACATCAAGAGAACAAAGACAGTTTTTGGGACCGTGCAAGTGAGAATTTGTATAATAAGGAAATGGGAGTATTCATAGGTCTCCAGCACAGAGAAAAAGGTAGACGGTTCAAGTAAAAAGTCTTTCACTGTGTGTGCACGATTATGGGTGCCTGGTTCATAAGAATAGGTTTAAGAAGCTGGTAATGGAAACAGAAGATCAAGCTTACTTTTTGAATCTCTTCTTGGAACCACATGGACAGAAAGCGTTCCTGCTGATCTGCCCACTTTTAGCCAGATTAGACCTAGCAAGATCCATCGGTGTCTTCCCCATGAGGTTCTGCACCTGAATCACCACTCAAGTTCTTCAGTAAACATAAGAGGAAGGTCAAGCAGAAGAGACGATTAAGACGAAACGGATAAGAGGACGGTCAACTGATCATCAGCATTCCCAGGAACCTCTAGAGCTTTAGTTATCTAACCCTGCTCTTGAAATACTTATACAAATATGCAGCATATGCATGAATACACGGAACAATCAATAGCAATTATCCGAGTTCGACTACCTAAATCTCACTGAACGACCAGCAATGTCAGTAAGCTCGGCTGAAACAAGAACATAGCCCAAAAGCAGTTTACCTCAGCAAGGCTCTTGGGCATCGGTTTCCCTTCTGCCTTTAGCTTGTCTAGCTTAGTCTGTGCTTCTCTGGCCCAAGTGAACTTCGACAGAGCGCTCTCAACCTCAGCTATCGTGCAATTACAGTGCTTTGCCGCTTCTTGCTTGTGACTTGTTTGAAGGTTCTATACATCAAGCAAACCTAAACCAATATTCAAACATCCTAAACATAAAACCATAGATAAAGACAGCAATAACACTTGAACGCCACAGAAATCTCTAGCAAAAGACGTTAATTTCGGAATCGGCACTGCAAATTTCTGTTCTCATTAAGGGTTAAAGAGTAAACATTTGAAAGCTACATCGGTAGTTTGGTGTCTAAGGAGCGCTATATGCATTTCAAGACTTCAAAGTTCTATACTCGGGGAAGGCTGCAATGGAAAATGCCACAAAGGAAAACCAACCTCTCCAGTAGCATCAAAAGCGCTGAGATATCTAATTACAGCCTCCATCTTCCCAAAAGCATCTGAGAAAGTCGCCTCACTGCTCCTTCCCACGATGTACTGCTTGAACGAGCCAACTTTCTGAGCCTTCTTCAGCTCATCGGCAAAACCTGAAACCCAAAAAAATAAGTTGATTTTTGACTTTCCACGGAAATCCCACTCACCAATTCGTTACAGTAAAACGCGAGGTTAAGAGAGAGGGGGAGAGACTCAACGAGTCAGCGTGAACGACTGGGCGGTTTCCTTGGGCTCCTCTTCCTTTTTTCCCTTGAAGACCCCTTTGATCGTGTCCATCCACGAGCTTCGAGGAGCGGTGGAGGAGATTCCACGGTGGAGGAGTAGGAGATGCTGCTGCTGCGGTGCCGGCAAACCACTCCGGCGGTGGCACTGGCATACGGCGGCCAAGGTGGTGAAGGGTTCAAGATTTTGCTTCGAGGTCCAGCGCAGCAGTGTCTTCCTAACAGGATGCATTTTGTAGGTTTTCTTTCTTAAACCTCTTTACAAAGTTCAGGGTTGCAGCCTTGCAGGAGATGAAACATACGATTCCGATGATCGAATTTTCGTACAGAGACTTTGCTCTGATTGCGATCTAGGGTTTTAACTTAGGAGAAAGGGGTTTTGATCTGGTACTCGTTGGCTTTGCTGAGACTCTCTAAACGCCGCGTTTTCTTGCTGGGCTTAAGAAGTATGGGTTGAGGGGCTGAGAAACTGTGCGGTCAGGTCATATATTTGGTTTACGGTTCAAACTTCAGATTGAGAGACTGTAGTATAGACCAGAGATTAGACCACGTAATATATAGTTTAGATCAGATCACGCCTGTGCAGACTGGTACAGATAGACCACATCGAATAAAAAATAAACAATTTGTTTAGTCAACCACACAAAAACTTGTATCAATAACCGAGAAAAAAATATTTTTTTGTCTTAAAACATAAACTACAACATGCATTAAATCTCAATAAATAAATAAATAATACAAATTCAAAGCATCTCAACTTGCACCATGACGCCATAAACATTAAGGGGTCGTTTGGAAGTTGCGATTGTTTTGTTGAGATTGTCATTATGCATGTATTGTTTACAATGCATCGTTTTTTTTGTTTTTTTAGCAGAAACAATACATGGATTGTTTCTGTGATGTGACAGAAAGTGATTGTTATATCTCAACTTTTACTTGTGATTGTTGAGATAGTTGAGTTGAGATTGTTTTGTCTCAGTTTTTAGCTGATGCGACATACACAATCACACATACCAAACGTTGTATTCTACAATGCATCAAATTCGACAATGCATGTATAATATTATACATGCATTCTCAACAATACATCTATTTAACAATCGCAACTTCCAAACGACCCCTAACATAATGTCATATAAAGACATGATCATCTCTACTCTCTGGTGAAATGTGCTTGTGAATAAAAGAGGGGACTAGTTTCTCAAATTTAGGGTAAGAGTTGGGTCTCGTTGGAGGAATTGGTAGAGTGGTTAAGTGGGCTGCTAACAGATATTGGGAAGTCGTCTAGGTATATGGTTTGGTACGGTAACCCGCGGTCTAGACCCGACCAGCCCAATAAATCAAAATATCATATAATACAGACCATGGAACCGACCACACCATTCTTATCGGTCTACAGTCCGGACCTAACTGTGCAGTCTGGTTTGGTCCGTGGTTTTTCAAACGGTTTAGCCTATTATTTCAGTCCTAGATGAGACTACACGTAAGGGTGGGCAACAGGCGGGTCAGATGGATTTTGACCAAAAAATTAATTCATCCACTCTTCAATGGATTGACAAATTTACACCCCTAACCCATCCACAGGTACTCATGGGTTGGATCGAACGGATGGCTGATGGCGGATGATGCGATTCGATATGCCAATTCACCCACGAGTCTACACTGACTCCACATACAAAATGCAAAGCTGTAAATTTACAGAATTGCTAAACGTCGCCTTTAAAATTTCTACGATTGTCCTGGCTCAAATATTAAATTATCTATATACCCCTAATTAAATTTTAAAATTCAAACGACCAATCAAGCCCTAAGACCCCACAATGGTTGTGGAGGAAAATGGGTGGGTTGGGTGATTTTTTGGGTTTGGGTGGGAAAACCTACAATGGGTTGGGAAGGAAAAAAGGGAAAAGTGGGAGGGGTATTTTTTGATGAAATCAATTTAGTGTTGATTTTGTCACTTTACTTAAATAATTTTATCGTTTTTTTATATAAGTAGTGGTAATTAATTAAGAGAAACATTGTGATATAATTGTTTTCATTTGCACATAATGTTTTTTTGTCATTAATTAAATATGATGTATCAATGATGAAATCACAATAATGTTTTAGAAGACCATGACTCATCACATGACGTTATCATTAAAATATGTCTGTTGTAATTCAATTATAATCACTAGATATTGTTTGGCTATTAGGGTTTCACGGCTCCGTCTTTTTCGAAGTAGTGATTTCACGAAGAGCGCCCCTCTTGATCTCGCATGGTGGCCCCGCCTTCGGGGAGACTGTTGTTGGGCCAGAAGGACACAGAGATGACGACGGGGAACTGACGACCTCCTTCTGTCACGTCCTCGCCGAACAAGTCTTCGGACAAGGAAATGCAACACACGTGGAAAAGGGCCAAGCCCTCGAGTGTAACCTTGCTATTTGAATCGGAGGCTATGGTCGAGGACTTCGCGAAGATCCCATCAGGGCATGGCTCTGATCGTACACAGCAGCGCGATGGGCAAGCCAACCCGACCCAACGGCATGGAACGAAAAGATTAGTTTCTCTGAACTGATGTCGGACAAACCGTGGTATGTGGCGGAGTCCGATACAGAGGATGTCCACGAAGCGATGAGGGAAGAGGATATCGTTGACAAAGTTCCTGACAAGGACAATCCCCGATGCCCTGCTATCCCTATCAAGGCAATGGAAAAAGCTCGTTACCGACGGGAATGGAGATCTGCGCCTATTGTTAAGGTCCTCGGTCGGACCTTCCCATTCCCTGTGTTGTCAAAACGACTTGAGACACTTTGGGCAATACATGGTAGTTTGCAAATATCTAACATGTTGTTTGGTTTCTACGTGGTTCGTTTCACTAGTCATATGGACTACGAGTAGGCTGCTGCTGGAGGACCTTTGATGATTTGGGGCTACTATCTAACGGTTCGTCCATGGAGGAAAGGGGTTGATGCTAAGTCTATTGAGATGGGATCGACGATGGTATGGGCTCATTTTCCATAGCTTTCGCTTGAGTTCTTCGATCGTGAAGCGGTAGAAAGAATTTCCCAAAGAATAGGGAGGCCAATTCGGGTTGATAGGGCCACACTAACAAGAGAGAGAATGCAATATGCACGTGTATGTGTGGAGGTCGACCTAACTAAACCGGTTCTTGATAGCTACCGAAATGAGGGGAAGAAATATTACATCGAGTATGAAAGTCTCCACAATATTTGTATGGAGTGTGGCAAGTATGGGCATGCTAAAGCATCCTGCCCTCGCTCTTTCGACCTGCTTCACCAACAGCTACGGAGAAGTCACCTCGCACTGAGTATATATCGCTTGTGCCTACCACTGCACCTGAACCGGTCATTGGAGAGTGGATAGTTGCTAAACCAATGGGAAGGCAAGCTAAGAAACAGGGAAAGGGCTCTAGGACTGCTAAATCAGTTCCGACTGAGAGTGGCAACAACTCCGGGTCGAGATTCGAATCGTTATCTAAGGAAAATGGAGATGTTGACATGGAAGTGGGCGGTGTTGTACCAACTACCAACAACACAGCTGATGATACAGTGGACGTCTCCACCAAGTTTGTGCTACTGAGCAAAGCTAGGGAGGCACCTCATTGGAAGGCGATGGCCATGAACCCTCTGCAAGGAGGTAAAAGGAAGACAACTGTTGATGTGACTTGAATCGGACTATCAGTCGCTACGACTGGTCTGTAACCGTTTCCTTTGCCATATTGGATTAGGTTTAGACCCACATGGAGAAGTACTATAAATACTTATCATACTCCTCTGTAATCTCCTCGATATAGTGAAACTGGCTTAGACCCACAATGCTTCCTGCAATGCTTAGACCCACAATGCTTCCTGCTTTTCTACTTAATTGCAGCGTTGCGACGCGTGTGCCAGGAAAATTATTTTCACTCTTTCCTAATTTAATGCTAAACATTTTGTCTTGGAATTGCCAAGGAGCAGGGCACGAGGAGTTTATCCATTTTCTTTTGAGTTTTTGTGGGTCGGCCAAACCCGATCTTGTATCTATTTTAGAACCAAAAATAAGTGATGATGTCGCTGAGCGCGTGATCTCTCGCACTTGTTTTGACGGTTGTCTGTTGTGGATTTTGTAGGTTTCTCCGGTAGAATCTGGGTTTTGTGGCAGCGCAATAACATCAAGGTGTCATCTATATATGAGTGGGAGCAGATGATTCATATAGAGTGTACCAAACTCAGTGCTTCGAACACAGCAGTGCTCGTTTCAGCACTGTACGACAACCCTAATGCTTCCCGATGTGAAGATCTATGGACGGAGATCCGGAGAATTTCAGGGTCCATCTCGTCCTCGTGGGTGTTGGAGGGTGATTTTAATAGCATTCTCAGCCCGACAGACATAATGGGAGGTGTAGGTTTCCACGAGGAGCGTACGCGCTCCTTCTGGCAATGCATCAACAATTGTGGTTTGATATATATTGGAGAGGCAAACTTTTCCAATAATTAGATCGAGCTGTATGTAATCAGGCCTGGTTTTAGAAATACACGACTGCTTGTACCCATCACTTGGAGAGGATTGGCTCTGATCATCGCCCCAACCTGGTGAAAGGCTCTCAGAGGAATAGTCGAGATGGAAATAGACCATTTAGGTTTCTCGCATCCAGGCTTGGGCACGACAGCTTTCCTGAGTTGTTGGACAATTCCTAGAAAGGTGTAGGCTTCCTCCCCATCCAACTCGGCCAGTTCTTCGCGAGTTTATAGAAATGGAACCGAGAGGTTTTTGGTAACATCCTCCATCGTAAGTGGAAACTATGAAGGAAGCTAAAGAGGTTAGAGATTCAGAATGAGACCCACGCATCACCAATGTCAGAACGTGAGGATAAGGAGACGCAGAAGTTTCTCGAAGAGACGCTATAGCTGGAAAATTTGCTCTGGTTGCAAATGTCTAGAGTTTCGCATATTGTTGAGGGGGACAGGAACACCAAGTTCTTCCACTTGTCAACGCTGAAGAGAAGACGCTTCAACAAAATTCTGGGACTCCGTACGGCTGCAGGGATCTGATTATTTGTGCTTGCTGTTCACGGCTGAGCTGGGCGCCGCACCTTGTCTTTCGTGTTGGTTTCGAGAAGATTAGCCGACGGGAAGGTGAAGGATTGTCACTTCCAATTGCAAAAGCGGAAGTTTGGCAAGCACACAAAAGCATGAGAGGTTTCAAAGCTCCAGGGAAAGACAGCTTTCCACCGGTGCTCTTCCATAAGTATTGGTAGAAGATCTCTTCTTCTTTCGAGCAGTTTGTGGCAGACTGCCTGGAGGACGCATCTCATCAGTGAACTCCACCATGCATTGCCTAATAACGAAGAAGGAGAGCACGAAATCCATCATGTAGTTCCGTCCTATTGGTTTGTGTAACGTGGTTTACAAGACCTTTGCCAAAGTCCTTGTGAACCGCATTAAGCCTCTTATGAGAAACCTAGTCCACTCGACCCAAAGAAGTTTTGTCCCCGGACGTCACATCACTGATAATATTATCATATTGCAGGAGGTTGTCCACTCTATCGGGGTTAAGAAGGGGCAGAAGGGACAGATGGTGCTGAAGATTGACTTGGTTAAGGCCTATGATATGTTAAGATGGGAATTTAAGCAGGAGACAATGGAGGGAGTTGGCCTCCCAAACAAGTTGCTAGGGGACTTTATGCACTGCGTGACCTCAACCTCAATTCAGGTACTGTGGAATGGCAACTTAACGGAGGAGTTCACGCCCTCCTGTGGGCTGAGATAGGGTTTCCCTCTCTCACCGTACCTGTTTACCTTGTGCATGGAACGACTAAGCCATATAATTGAGCATACGGTTTTTGAGAAGCAATGGAAGCATATCCATACTTCCCTAGGTTGTCCTCCTCTCTCCTACTGTTTTTTGTTGACGAACTCATTCTTTTTGCATAAGAAACGGAGACACAAGGGGTTGTGGTGTTTGAATGTTTGGACCGATCCTTTCCTGCGTTTGGTCAACAGGTCAGCAAAGACAAATCAGTCATGTTCTTCTCTGGCAATACCCCTTGTAGCCTTTCTACCACAATTGCTTGAGGGCTTGAGATGCCTATGACACAAGATCTTGGTCGGTACTTTGGAGTCCATGTCTTGCATGGGCGGGTCACTAAGGGTACTTACTGTTACATGCTAGAACGTCTGGAGAACAAACTTTCAGGTTGGAAAGCGTGGAGCTTGAGCTTTGCGGGAAAAGTGATTTGGGTTCAATTGTATACATTTTATCTCTCATTTCTTGTCAGTTTGACTTGGATTTTCATCGTCCCTCAATCTATTTTACGCTAGGTTGCACTTGCTTTGACACATTTCAGATCCTAGCACGTGTGGGAAGGTCGAGGTGAATTTTGAGTCGATTGGAAGTCGAAAAGCGCAAAAAGTGAAGAAAAGTCCAAAGCTCGTGGGCATGAAGTGCGATGATTCCGGAGAGTTTTGTGCACATCAATAAATCTCGACTGGATCACGGTCGGTGGTCCGTTAAAACTCACCCCAGACCGTGAAGTTGGACAAAAACAGTGTGTTTCGGGCAGATGTCACGGTTAGGGCTCCAATGTCACGACTGGGAACAGTGACCGTGAAAAGTGACTATCGGGCTCTATATATAGAAGGTTGTTGGGAGAGAGAAAGACAACTTTTTGATAGGTTTTTAGTTTGCAGAATAAAAGTGGATTCTAGTGAGAGAGTAGGGTTTCTTCTTCAAAGGAGAATGGGCTTGCGCTAAGCTAGAGGATTGAAGGCTTCATTCTTCTAAAGGGAGATTCAAGCAACAAGAAAGGAAGATTCTCATCTCTTAATGGTTCTTTCTATCCTTTTTGTTGTTTTCCTTTGCCTAGCTATGGAATAGTCCACCTACTCACTTGGATATTGTGAATCCTAGTCTAGATGTGTGTTACGATGTAAGAACTTGATTCTATCGTATTGATCGTGTGTTTTATGTAATATTTGAGGTATTAATCATGAATGGTTGAGTGTTTCTTGCATTATCTCATTATTGGTCAAATTAACCTAGAGGATGGTAATCCCCCCCCCCCCCCTTTGGCCCTTAGGGAGCTTGATCTCCTAGCCACTTGGGTAACCCACTTTGGGGTGAACTATGGCCAAAACCTCAAGTACCAGAGTAGTACCATGATCCCATCATGATTGGTCACTCTCCATAGTCCAGATGAACTTCCGAGGGTTGGGTCTTGCAATCCTTGGTTAATTGGTTAAGAATGCTAGATTTCCTAGCCTATAGTTGAAATCCTTAGCCGAGTGGCTAAGAGAGTTAGGCCACCTAGCTTATTTTTGCTATCCTTAACTAGTCGACTAAGATAGTTAGGGTTTCTTTGGTTGATTGGTTAAGAGAGCTAAGCCTTCTTGCTTATTGTTGCAATCCTTACTCGAAACGTTAAGAGAGCTAGGTTCCCTGGCTTATTGTAGCAATCCTTGATTGATCGACTAGGAGGGCTTGTTCCTAGCTTGTTGCACCCGCCTCGCGGTATATGAGCATATCCTTCACACTACATTTTTGTTCAAAGTTCCCCATTACGAGAACAGGGGGAGCAATACCCGAGTGAAAGTCCTCTAATATATAATTCTTCTCTATTAACTTTACTTATTTGTTTATTATGTAGTTTTTCTTAATTTTAAAATCAAAATTGTTTTGCTAGATAACGCTTAAGCTATTGAAGTATAGGTACATGGACCGACCCGAGTTTGATAATTAAAACATACTTGCCCTATACTGCACCCGGATAGAGTTTATACTTGGTCTCTAGTCGGAATTTAATTGGCGGTGTAGTCCAAGCGAGTCAACGAGTCACCTTGGTGGTCTTTGTTCTGAACTCCATGCCAGCCTATGCGATACAAAACACCCTTCTCCCCCAGTCCATTTGCGACTCCATCAACCGTAAAATTCAAAGTTTCATCTGGGGAACTTCGGAGGAGGTCCAGAAAGTCCAATCTCGTGCATTGGGAGGCGGTGTGTCGTCCCAAGAAAGATGGAGGTTTGGGCCTCCGTAGCGCCCATGACCTCAATCTCGCTTTTCTCGCCAAGGTAGCCTGGTCTATTGTTAAATACCCGGATGAGTTTGGGTTCGTGTTTTGGGAGACTAAATATTTTTTAGGAAAGTGGATCGAGTAATCGTTTCCAAAACTTCAGCTCGGATATCTAACATTTAGCGGGAAGTTAAGAAAGCTTGGCCGATCATGAAGCCTGGCTGATCAAGGATGGCAAGTCCACCTCCTTCTGTATGGACATATAGATCGATAGTGGGGAAATGCTCATCGACCTGGCCTGGGAGGATGCCCTTGTGATGGATCCAACCGTACCAGTGGCGTATTTCGTCATGGCTCGTGGTGAGTGGGATCTTC